TAGGTGGTGCTCGCTAACAGCACTTGCCTCCAAAAGTGTGTGTAGAGTATGTGTGTGTGTGTATTATTTACCACGTGTGTGTAATGTATGTACTGTGTGTGTGTCCATGCATGTCGTGCATCAAGGTATATATGAGCCAATCAATGTGGGCACTTACATGCCCGGGTGTAATGCGTGTGCTATAAATGTGCATCAATGGTATGTACCCATATGTGCAGGTAATGTATGTTTTTTATGTACGTACAGTACGTATGTGCGAATCATATCAGTCGATGCATTCATATACGTATGTAGCCCCATTATGGATGCCTATGAACGCTTAGCATAATGCATGCACAATGATTTCACGAACGCTGTTCATGCGTTTAAGAATACCATCTACACGGGTCTGTACGTCGAATGCTGCTAGGGCTTTAGACATTCAGCCAAGCCCAAAGTTGTGCTGCACGCCTATGCTCCCAAACGTCACCGACCCGCACTCATCCAGCAGTGGATATTAGATAGCCAACGGGAAATGCTCTGCCCAGCCTGCAGGTAGGGCTGTCCCCTGGTGTGCGATCGATAAGAGCGGGCCTAATATTATTTGAACCCGACCCAGATCGACTCAGACTTAAATGAGTTTCACCTGTACCGCACCTGCTGCAGCTGTGTACACATCAGCACTGGGGATACAAAGGCGGCAGGGCGTGGTGGTGGTGGTGGTGCCATGCCGGCCTTCGTAGGTGCTCTCTAAAAGCACTTGTCACGAGCCCATCAAAGGCTACACTGGGGACCTGTCTTTTTTGTGTTGATACGTATATGCAAAGTTAATGCTTTTGCTTTCTGAACGTGTGCACGTTACTGTAAATATTGTTTACTAACAATAAAGGTTTTTTTTTGGGTTGAGATCGCGTAAGTATAAATGTGCCGTAACCCTCCACCACCCGACACAGCCAATTAGTAAGGGATTACTAATCTATTATATGATTACAATATCCCTCCCGCCTCTCCCTCCTCTGATTTCTGCACCTGATGGGTTCAGCGATGACGTCTTCCTGCTGCTGCCCTATATAAGACCTGAAGCAGGTGGACGCTGGTTGATTTAATTGCCAGCGAAACGTCGTACTACTCAGATTGTGAATGTTGTGGATTTACTCTCCAACACAACGGTGGGCTGTAGTGCACTATGCACTATACTGGTAACGAATTGGCGTTATGTTTACGCGACAAATCACTTACTAATTGGCTGTGTCGGGTGGTGGAGGGTTACGACACATTTATTCTTACGCGATCTAACCCCCCAGAAACACTTTGATTATGACTAGTATTGGGTCGCGAAAGCCTGCCACGTGTTTAGCTGAATCATTGTTGATGTTTGTTTACTGGAGGGATGCCTTCGCCCAGTCTCAAGGCTCACTCACAGGAGGGTCATGCCGAGTGTTCGCAGTCGGCGGGGGGGTGGGTGGGTGGGGGAGGGGGGTGATGCTGCTGCTGCTGCTGCTCCAATCGAGTAATTTGCGTCAAATTACTAAAAAAAATCATCAAAATAAAAATAATAATTAAGAATGCATACTACACGAGTCTCTGTACGTCGAATGATCCAGAGCTTCGACGTTGTCAGCGTTGGCCAGGCCAGCCAAGCCCAAAGTTGTGCTGCACGCCTACTCACCCAAACCTCACCTACCCGCACTCATCCAGCAGTGGATTAGATAGCCAACGGGAAAGGCTGTTTTTATTATTTATTATTTTTAATGACAACCGCTTGTGTTGCGACCGAAACGTCGTGAGTTTTTATTTATTATTTGTAGTATATATTTTTAATAAACTTTATTTTTTATCTACGTGACTTTACCGACAGAACCAAACAATATCAATTCCTTTAGTCGCGAAAGTTTTAAGCCAAAGTTTTCATCCAATTGTTTTACAACAGTGAGATGTTTGGAACAATACCAGAGACCTTGCGTGTTTGTGTGTGTGTTGGTTTTACCTATGGGGGGGGGGGGGGGAAACCTCAGAACCCGTAGGAAACCCACACGGGACACAGGGGTAGAACAGGGGGGGGGGGGGTGGGGGGCATACAAACTCCACGCAGAGAGGCGCCCAAGTCGCGACTCGAACCCAGGCGCTCTTTGCCCCGAGGCACACGTGTCGCCAAATTCCCGCGCGCCCTCTCATCAATCCGCCGCTGGGACGAGGGCCACGCGGGTCACGGGATTCTTATTGACGATACTTCACCACGCGGGGTTACTGACGGTTGGGTGACGCGTAGAAGTGCAGTACAACGCCGGACGTCGTGCTCAAACTGCCTTCTGCCGGACGGCGCGCGTAGCGGGGTCCTATCGAAGCCCATGGCCAGGCTGTAGCACTGCTTAGCTTCTGAGATCTGGCGAGATCGGGGGCGTTCCGGGTGATTTACCCCTGGCGTATTCATATTTACAAATACAAAGGCGCAGCCCTGCAATAGCATGCTCACGCCACTGCTGCATGGCGGAAGGGCCTCCGCTTGAGGGATGTCAAGAGATCCCCTCTGTAAGGGGGTTATTTGGCCTACTCTTCCACGCTTGGGAGTACCCATGCTTTGCCCCATCACCACACGCGACGTGCCGAATTTACTGTCGTGGTTACCCCGTCGACTTCCGTGTGCGCACTGCCTGCTGTACATGCCGCTGCTGTTGCTACCGAGTGGACACGGGGGAAGAGAGAGAGAGACACACACACGTGAAGGATGGTGCATTTAAGTGACTTGCAGCAGCATCTACTTAATATATGTATACAGTATACATGTATACATGAATAATGCATGGGACTGATTGTCTCGTGTGTGTGTGTGTGTGCGCGTGTGTGTGTGCAGTGGGGGATCTTTGCAGCGGTGCGTTAGGGGACACCGTCGTACGGGGTCTTCGGTAGATTGGACACTCAACACCGGTGGAGCCGAGTGTCCTTGCGAGTCTGGAGGACGGCCTGCGATAGGCTAGCAGTGGGAACAAACAAAAAAATCCACGAGGATAGAAGCACGTGGATTTGGCGAGAGAGGATTTTTGCGGAGGAGGTAATGACGATGGGGCTGATTGAGGGGACTGAGAAAAGATGACTTTGGTGGTGATGATGATGGTGATGTCCTTATTCTATGCATCGGCGTTGATATTAATTAATTCATCTGATTGCCAGACTGGTTAACAGGTAAAATCATATTCAGATTCATTGACAGCAGCATGGTCATCTTTAGAATCCATCATTTCATCTGTGATTGCTGTTAGCATCATCCTCTCTGTCATCAATTTTAGGGTCCATAATTGTATTTAGCATCTATCGTAAGCTCGAGCAGACAACATCATCAACTATAACATGTAATATGGACATCATCATTTTAAGGATTATCTTTAAGATCATTGTTATGTATATCTTATCATCATTATCGTTGTTATACTTTGACGACATCATCGTGCCCGTATCATCACGAGTTTCAGCATCATCAGAATTAAATATCATCATCATCAACTATAATACTTTGCATTCATTAATTCACCATCTATTTTTTGTCCTCACGTTGAACATCACACCCCTTCACAATTAGTATCCATCGCCATCATCATCATCATCACCTTGCGCATACTCACTTTTAGTATCATCATTAGCCACGATTAGTATATTAATCATTTTTAATGTGTCGAACTTCTTTCGCACCGCACGTAACTAACCGTGCTAAACCTACACTAATCTATGTAAATCTAAATTGATTATTAACCTTATCGCCACGATTAAGATGAATAACTATTTACATGATCATAAGCTTTAACTTCCAAATATCATTATGATATCATAATTAGGATCTATCATCATAATTTCTGGTCATGATTCAGATACATCGTTATCTGACCTTCACCGATATCCCACATAATCCATATTATCTTTAGCGTCTTACTTCATTATCTAATTGCCATAATCACAATGTCAAAGGGAAGCCAAGTAGAGTACTGTAATTACATTACATCACCATAATTGATCAATTACACCACCATCTACCATTCAAATATATCGTCAGTCATTACATCAAAGATTACAGCATCGTCAAGTCGGAGTAACAATTACATCTTCATTATCCAGTAGCCACGATCAATCGCCATCATCACCACCACCATCACCACCATCATCTCCCAACAACATTATAATACATTATCAACCTCATGTTTTTGTTTAGTCACACATTAGCATTATCGTACAAGAGTCAATCAATATCATCATCACAACACTGTACATGGACTACAATTTTAAAAGTGCATTATCATCATCTATTAGTCAAGATCAATTACTTCACCGCCATCATCGTCATCATCAAAGCTGGAACAAACCCGATAAGAACTTAAGTGATCACACGCGCGCGTGAACACACACGCGAACACACACACACACACGCGAACACACACACACACGCGAACACAAACACACACACACGCGAACACACACACACGCGCGCACACACACACGCGCGTGAACAAACGCATACACGCGCACGCGCGCGTGAACAGACACGCGAACACACGAGCGTGCGCGCTCAACAACATAAAGACGATCGCACACGCACGCACGCACAGGCGAGCGCTCACACTGTATAGAAGAACGCAAGAACGTACGCAGACACGCACACACAGACACGCACACACACCACGCGCAGACGCGCTTAGAACACACAGGAACACGCGCGCACACACACACACAACACAAACACACGCCCGAGCCGGCGTACATACATAGAACACGAAGATAACAACACCACACACGAACCACAACACACACACAAACATACACAAGAACAAAGCCAAAGATCCTCCGTGTGACCTACATAGACGGCTAGGGCAAGTGCTGTGTGCGAGCACACAGACACACAAGAACACACACACACAGACACACAAGAACACACACGGACACACAAGAACACACACACACACACAAGAACACACACAGACACACAAGAACACACACAGACCCACAAGAACACAGACACACAAGAACACACACACACAACACACAGGCACACAAGAACACACAAGAACACACACACAGACACACAGGAACACACACACACCACACACACACACAAGAACACACACAGACATGCAAGAACAAAGGCACGCGTAAGAAGACGCACACCTGAAACACACACAGACGTACATCCAAATGCACGGGTACACAGTCGTACACAGAAGGACACACACACGCAGAGAGGCGAGGGAGGGAACGCGCACAGTGACGAGAAGAGCGAGAGAGAGCGGGAGTTTGTGAGATATCTGGAGAGAGAGAGGTGGGAGAGAGGGAGCAAGAGAGAGAGAGAGAGCAAGAGACAGAGAGAGAGAGTGAGAGCGACGGGTGGAGGCTAACATTACTCACGCGGCGCGGGCGTAACAGACACACAGACTCACCACGCACACAGACACACACACACAGACTCGCAATGGATAAGCTGCCACACGCAATGCGCAGACGCCTCTACAGCCTGCCCCAGCATCTGTGCCCCCGTGCCAGCCTCATTGACTGCGACGACGAACACACGAACAGCACCCAGAACGACCACCAGCACCAGCAGCAGCAGTCATCCAACGTGGCCGATCAACAGGGAGGTCTTTGCCCGAGCGTCGGAGGGAGTGGTGGCGGCGGTGGTGGCGGTGGTGGCGGCGGCAGACTCATTCGACTACGGACTCTTGCTTCGTCCACATCTCCCTCGAGCACCGGCGGCGGCGGTGGCGGCGCGGCAACCACCACCACCACAACAACGACAACAATCGCGAACACGATCTCGCCGGGAGTTGAGTCGTGCCGGGACGAGGACGAGACCAGAGTCCTGGTGGCCAAGTGCAGCCCCAACGGCGACTGCGCGCAGAGTCGCGAGAGCCTCGCGTCCGTGGAGACCAACTTCGGCAGCTGTCGATTCCTCGAGGACTCGGCTCCGCAGGAATCATCCGACTCCAACAACGCGACCACCATCCGCTTCGCGGAGGGGGCCATGAAGAGGTCGTCGAGGCGACGTCAAGAGCAGCGCGTTGGCGGCTCCCGAAAGAACGACTCTTTATCTTCGGAGCAGCAGCGGAAGATGTCTCGCCGAGGGGGCGGCGGTGCCAGCGTCAGTGGCTCGATGTCCCTGCTCAAAGCGGAGGACGGAGGTCCGGGCGCGAACCTCGACTCCACCTCCGCGGCGGGAGAAGACGCGGACCAGACGGGCAGTCAGAGCAGTTTCATGCACCGTCAGTTCAGCGCGATGATGTTGCCCGGAGTGAACAAGTTCTCGCTAAGAATGTTCGGCAGTCAGAAGGCGGTGGAGAAGGAGCAGGAAAGGGTCAAGTTGGCCGGATTCTGGATCATCCACCCCTACAGTGACTTCAGGTAGAGTCGGCGTGGTGGCGGTTGTTGGCGGAGGAGGAGGAGGTGGTTGTTGGTGGAGGAGGGTGATTGTTGTGGTGGTGGTTGTAGTGGTGGTGGTTGTGGAGGTGGCGATTGTAGTGATTGTGGTGATTGTTGTGGTAGTGGTGGTGATTGTTGTGGTGGTGGTGGTGATTGTTGTGGAGGTGGTGATTGTGGAGGCGGTGGTAATTGTGGAGGTGGTGATTGTTGTGGAGGTTGTGATTTTGGAGTTGGTGATTATGGTGGTGGGTGCTTGTGATGATGGTGGTGGTTGGTTGTGCTGTTTGTGATTGTAGTTATGCTATTGCTAGTTCTACTGCTGGTGTAGATGATTGTAATGATGCTGTTGGTGATTGTTGTAGTGATGGTGGTGGTCCAGAAGATGCCAGTGGTGGTGCTGGTAGTGACGGATATAGTGGTGGTTGGTGGTGGTGGGGGTTGTGATAGCGGTGGTGAGGACTGGTGGTTGATTGTGATGTTGGTAGTCATGGTGGTAGTGATTGTGGTGGTAATGGTGGTTGTGCCGATGTTGTTGCTGTTGGTGATGGTGGCGACTGTGGTGCTAGTGAGTGGTGGTGGTTGGGGTGGTGGTAGTGGTGCGGGCTCTTTTGCGTTGTTGCGAGGCAAGACTTGGGGTTGGTGGTTCACGTGCAGATTTCCGAACCTCTGAACTCCGCCCGTTGGGTGCATGGCGAGGTGACCGGGGATTAGCCTTGTTGATAGGACAGCAAGTCGGTTCGCGTGATCGGCTCTGTGAAAAAGAGCTTCATAGCTCATGGGATTTCTCCGGTACAAATACAGATTTCCGTATGCAGTGCGATGGGGTTCCTCCGGGTTTCACCACGACAAGGAGCCGAATTCTGATGAACAATTTAACCGGCCAACCATCCCAATGTAGCAGCACCCCTCCCGTGAAAAGAGAGAGCCTTGACACTCAGTGTTGTTCTCCTCGGTAAGTAGGGGCCAATGTTATTAAGTCGTAAATAGATTTATGCACTTATTAATCTCCAAGCCGGGGGGGGGGGCTTTTGTCTGACTTAGTGAGACTCAGTAAAATCAGGCCGCGTGTGTATTATTCACACACTGCTTTGGTCTGTTAACACAATAATCTAAACATTCTTGTAAACTGACTGATGTGTGTTAAACGACATTAGATTGGGGGAGCTTAACTTAGGGGGGTAGTTACGATAACTTAAGCCCTTAAGTTGCGAGCGAGTGGTGGTGGTGGTGTAACGCTTCGTGTAATTGTAGATTGTTAACAATTTTTAAGAATCAACGATGGAAGCATTACGAATCGATGTGTGTGTTTTTTATTCATTTCGGGAATATATATCTTCTGGTGCGATAATATAAACGTTGAGGCTAGCATGGTGCAAAAATGAGCCGATCCTGACGTTTACGCGCTGTTCTAGGCTACTCATTTAAGGCTGAGTGGATCTAGAGGAATTGTCGGAAGAGGCCCCAAGGTGTCACTGTCCGCCGATGTTCAGCCCCTTCGTTGATGTCGAACCTAGGCTGCCGGGGAGCGCATTAAATACGAATAACGAACGAAGATCCACAGCCGGTATGGACTTCAACGGACGATTCGGGGCAAGTGCCGTTGGCGGGGCGCCTGTTAAGAACCGGCACGGCACACGAGGGGGGCTAGGTGGTGGTGGCACGGCCCCGCTGCCGGCCGCCTTTGTCTCCCAAATGATGATGTTTACACACCGGAACCAGATACTCATTTGAGGCCGAGTCGATTTGAGCGGAGTCCCAGGATCCGTTCCAGTTGAGCTGTGAAGTCACTGATGATGTCACTGATGTCACTGATGATGTCACAAATGTTACTGATGATGTCACTGATGTCACTGCCACCCCCCTAACCCTCCATAGCCACGCACTGTAATCCACCCTGGGCCCCCCCCCTCACCCCCCCCTCGCAAGCAAATCGGGTCGGAGCCGTGGGGGTTCACGTTGCCGTCTCCCTCTGGGCCGTGACAGCGCAGTGCCCCCCCCCCCCCACACACGGCCCTCCCACGGCCCCCCCCCTCGCCCCCCCCATTCCCCTTGTTCAGCCCCCCCCCACACGGCCCTCTCACGCCCCCCCTCGCCCCCCCCTCGCCCCCCCCCCATTCCCCTTGTTCAGCCCCCCCACATTGCCCTCTCATGCCCCCCCTCGCCCCCCCCCATTCCCCTTGTTCAGCCCCCCCCCACACGGCCCTCTCACGCCCCCCCCCCCTCGCCCCCCCCCCCCATTCCCCTTGTTCAGCCCCACCCACCCACCACCTCTCGCTCTCACGCGCGGTATTTTTAGACTCGCAATGTCAACCGCGGAATCGTCGTCTCGCCGTTAAAACATTGATGATGCACGGTGGTGGTGGCGGCGATGATGATGATGATGATGCGCGTGCGTGCGCGTGCGTGCGTTGTGTTGTGGCGGAAGCGCTGGCGCAATGGTTAGCGCACCGCGCTACGTAACCCGGGCCACACGGGTTCCGATTCCCGCTCACGGCCACCAACACCAGTGACCTCTATTCGTGGGTGCTCGCTAACGGCACTTGCCCCAACAGTCTGCTAAGGCTATGGGGGTGGTGGGGGAGTTCAGGGGGAGCGGTGGTGCAGCGGTCAGCGCACTGCGCTACGAACCCGGCGACCCGAGTACGATTCCCGCTCACGGCTAACACCGGTGACGGTTATTTGAACCGGTCCTGGGTCTCCCCTAGGTCGACTCAGCCTCAAATGAGTACCTGGCGTGGTGTGTTAAGATCACCACTGGGGATACAAAGGCGGCCGGGCGTGGTGCTGGCCACCCACCCCCTCGTGTGCCGTGGCGGGCCTTCATAGGTGCTCGCTAACAGCACTTGCCCCTACAGTCTGTTAAGGCTACACGGGGGATCTTCGTCTTTTTTTTGCGTGAGTTGCGGGGGAGCGGTAGTGCAGTGGTTAGCGCTACGCTGCGCTGCGGAGCCCGGTGACCCGAGTTCGATTCCCGCTCAAGGCCATCAACACCGCTGACGATTTATCTGAACCGGTCCTGGGCCTCCCCATAGGTCGCCTCAGATATGTGAGTACCATCGCCGCGCGGGGAGACAAAGGCGGCCGGGCGTGGCGTTGGCCACCCACCTCCGCAAGTGTTTTCGCTAACAGCACTTGCCCCAACAGTCTGTTGAGGTTGTACGGGGGGGGGGGGCATCTATGTCTTTGTTTTGTGGTGGATATGGAGCGGTGGTGCATCGCTTAGCGCACCGCGCTAGCCACAGCGTTCGTTATCCCATCCTTCAAAGATCCGTCCCCCCTTCCACGTGAAACAAATTAATTGGGTTCATTTTTTTTTACACATCCCTTCAGCCTCATGGCTTTTGCGTTTAAAAAAACATTTTTTTATTCATTTACTTCTGAGCACGCATAATTTTTCAGCAAGCAATTGGTTCGTGTCCAAACTTGAAAAACTCTGGGACCGGTCTCCAACATTCAGTGTCTCATCAGCAACAGGAGAGTCGTGGTCTGCTTACAGCAAATGATGTCGAACGGCCAGACGTTCATCGGCAACGACTCCTTCACTCTCCGTGAGACATCGCTCCTAGTTCTAAGCAGAGCCCTTCCACAACACAGCGCACAGAATAATGAATAATCAGTTTGACGTTGTAACGCGCGCATGTTGAATCGTCTTTCGCGCCGCACGTATCCAGCGGTGCCAATCGTGCGCTCTCTGTCTCTCGGCATTCATCTCGCTGCTTGTGATCTCCACAAGCACGGGCAACGTTTTATAATGAGCGGCACTGACCAGCGTGGTGAAGTATGGTCAACACTCCTTGTCCCGCCCGCCCCCCCCTTCTCCCCCCCCACCCCCCGCGAAGCGGAGGGGGAAGAAGGACTCTCATCCAGCAGTCGATCGCACAAAAGGAATTTGCATAACGATTGGGGGCGGGGGGAGATTTTCTGGTCCTGCGGACAATCCTCTCCGAGCCGGGATGAGCCGCGGTGACGCAAGGCGGAGGAGGAAGCCGCCTTGGCGAGGGAGGAGCCATGAGAGAGTCTGCCCCCCCCCCCTACCCTACCCTGATGCGCTTGGTCCTGAACGCACGGAACCACGTGGACGCCTCTCCCAGCGGCACTGAATGTTTGAGATGTTCCATTCGGGGGGGGCGGGGAGGGGGGCACTCGACGGGTGACCTTGGCCGATCATGATTGTGATGCGGTCCGGTATGATTATGATCATAACGATGATGACGAGTCCGGTATGATTATGATGATAACTATGATGATGATGATGATTGAGTGTCCGGTAGGATTATGATGATAACGATGATGATGATTAAGTGTCCGGTAGGATTATGATGATAACGATGATGATGATTAAGTGTCCGGTAGGATTATGATCATAACGATGATGATGAAGAGTCCGGTAGGATTATGATGATAACAATGATGATGATTGAGTGTCTGGTAGGATTATGATGATAACGATGATGATGATGAGTCCGGTAGGATTATGATGATAACGATGACGAAGTGATGATGATGGTCATGATGAGGAAGTGATGATGATGATGTGGAAGTGATGATGATGGTGATGAATGCAGTAACATTGATTGCTGCCCGTACGTGTGTGTCCAGTCGGTGATGATGACGCAATTTCGATTCCCGCTCACAGCTCAACATCGGTTACAAATATCTGAACCGGTCCTGGGACTCCCCTAGGTCGACTCAGCCACAATTGAGTACCTTGAGCGATGTGTAAAAACATCAGCACTGGGTGGGGGGGGGAGACAAAGGCAGCCGGGCGTGGTGCTGGCCACAACACCCCACCTCGGGCGCCGTTTCGGCCTGCGTAAGTTCTCGCGAACAGCACTTGCCCCGACATCCTCTCGAAGGCTACACGGGGGATCTTTGCCCGTGTTGTTGTACGTGTATCTCATGCGGGGCCTTCGCGTTTTTAATCGCGACAATAACGATCACGGTCACAATTGCCACAGCGCCCAAGCAAGGCGAACCCCGCG